AGCAACCTCCCGCGGGCATCCATAACTCAATAGTGTACGCTGTGGTGTTTACCATTTGTTAATTATGTAACAGTGTAGAGCTTCTCTTGTTGATGGTCATTTCTTTTATTCTCGTGAGCTGAATGGTTGATATTGTAAGGAGAAATGAGATGCTGGTCACTCCTAGGAGGCGGCTAAGGGGTTAAAAAGAAACATTTGAAGCATGAAGAAAAACCAACAAACAAACGAACAAACAAAAAACAGCATTAGAATCTGGTTATACGGTTTAATTTGTAGGAAGTTGTCTTTTTTGTCGACTATTATTGTTATTATTATTATTATTATTATTATTATTATTTTCTATTTGTTTTTTATTATTTTTTAATTGATTTAGCAAATGGCTTTTCTTGCGGCGTTAATGATAGCATTCAGTCGTAGAGATCATATCGGTAAAAAATACTTTTGTTTATATTACTGCAGATGAGCAGTTCTTACTTAGAAGACTTGCTGATGCTGCCATTGATATTTATGGTATGGCAGCGGTGCTTTCCAGGTAAGATGCGCATTTTGGCTGTCACTCTAAAGAAGGCACGCGATATTCGCTCAGTCTTCAACAATCACTTCCTTCCGGTTGATTCTGCCTACAGACTTAGTGTTTTAGTACGCTGCAGTACATGCAAAAGCAGTTTTTTCCCTTTCCCGGAACTTGCTAGGGTATAAAAATGTCATCGTGCCGTGCAGTTATACATTTCGTTTGACTCCTTACAGTGCAGTTCATGCATAATCGAACCAAACTATACGAATAATACACGTCTAGCACGTGTTTAAAAACCATACGCATACTGGTATCATACGCATACCACTATTGACAAACGAGCATACGAGTACATTCCTAAACTTGTATGTCATTAGTGGGTATGAGCTTGCTGATTGTTTTCTCCAAGTCTAATGGTCAGTGTTCATTTTAATGGGGCATTGTAATAGCAGTAAAAACTGGTGTTCAAGCCGTCATGCCTTCGCGTTTAGTTTCGTTGTCCTTTCTACCTTGAACTCCTTTCTTTGTTGGTTATTTCACCTTTTGTTTTGTTTTGTTTTTGTTTTACAGGGCATCCCGATCCCTTAACAATAAATTTGACTCTGCGCAACACGAGGCTATGATAACAACCGTTTACTGCGACGAGGTAAAGCGATAATTGATTATATCATTCTAGATATCAGTTTTTGAAGCACGGTAGAAGTTCTCCCAACAGACTCTCTCGAAAGCGAACAACTACGCTTGAAACCTTCCGCACGAAACTCTATCTAACTGTGTGGCGTCTTAAAACTATGGATTCATTGATGAAAAGAAAGTTCATCGCGTATACCACTGTCGTATTTTAGAATCACTTATCCTAGAGTGTCTCTCTCTCACAGAGCTTAACTTCAGAGATCGGACGAACGAAGAGTAAACTCTAAAGCTTTTCTTTCGTTTAAATGATATCACTCGACCTATTATTTGTGATCTTTTCGCAGGCTTTTGACAGAATAAGACAAAATCTGGGCTCCTTACATGACTCCAATAAACTCTCAAACGACACCAAAATGTCAAGAATAGCAATGGATGTCATCAAGAATCTGAACACAGTTCCCAATCATCCCCTGGGGTTCTAATAATCCCAGGGATAATTTAACTGGAATAGCACGTGGTATACGTTTGGATGATGATCTTCCTCTTAATGGGCTGTGATCGTGAACAAAATGTCTTTGGAAATGATTTGCTATCGCTGAGCATGGACTCTGGATAATGTCACGTAAATCTGCCGATAACTGTCTCGCAATTCTCTGATAATTGTTCATCGAAACAACGTTGTCACGCGTCATTTTTTATGCATAAACAGCAAGTTGGACTCTATCGCTTCTGTAAACGCTTCAAGACGCGTGTACTTCCCCTAGAAATTTAAATGCGTAAATTGTAGTGTAATTCCCAGAGAGATTTCCTCCTGCAAAATGACAGTCAAAGCTTGAGAAGATATGAGTAGAAGGAAACTAATTTTTGTTCAAGTGGTGACAGCAAACTGAAACGAGCAGGAAGAGGAATATAAGCCAAAAAAATCCACGTCACCTTTCATAGACGTAAGATGAAGTAAATATTATCTGGTCTCAGAGTAATTATAGGAATGTAACGGCACACCTTTTTGACGTTATTTATCTGGCTGGTCCGTGTAATAAAGTATGTGTAGACTTGTAACCTTATGTCAATGACGTTTTGGTGATACATAATCCACAAACCTTGACGAAGGGTTTGCTTGCCTGCCCTTGTTCGTAAGAGCGTAATGACTGGATTTTCACTCATGGCCGCCTAAATTATGGTCGGAGTGTTAACTCTGTTCGACTCCCTTTTGTCTCCTTCGATACCATTGAATGCTTTCCACACCAATAGTTATGCGCAGTCGTGTAATATATACGAGGTGAAGTAAGCTGAGATGTTATCACTATTGCTCAAATAGTGCTTTACTGCGAAGGATCGTTCACATATACATTATTGTTATTGATTATTATTGAAAAGAAAATTTAATTGGGCTGCGAAGGTAACCAAACGGCTGACGGTGCCGAACTCTAGTTGGCGAAATGAAAAAGATTTTGAAGAGAATCGGAACTCTTTGCCTCAATTTCGGTTTTTTATTTGTCTTTTTTTCAAGCTCATTAGTTAAGTCGGTAAGATCAGAAATCCCCCTCCCCTAAAGTAAGGTACACGCTAGATTAACGCGCCGACGCATAGTGTTTGTTTCTAGACTCGTACTGAATTTTTAAGGATCTCCGGGGCGCGTTTGGACTAGTATCGAGTTTTGATTATAGTTGAAGTGAAAGAAGAAAAAACATGAAATCTCTTGAACGATTGTCCATCTTTTATTTCCCGAACCTTGGGCGTTCAACAATATTGTAAGCATACAGCGCTTGTTTACTCTCACCAACGCAATTCTTGGATGAGGCGCTGCACTTTGCCATGTCATAAGTCACACACTCGTCACTGAGTCCGTTCTTATTCACAGCGAATTCATTTACCGCCCAGCATTCGCCTGCATAAGAATAATAGTTGAAAATAGAATTTTAAAAAAAGGGTAGCGGAATACACATTCAGTCTTTGCAACCGTGCACAGTGCCCAACGAAACCTTTAATTTCGAGCGGTCGGTCGCAGAATATTATTTGTGAAAATGCTTGCGTCCCATTTCGATTTCGTGTTTGGCCAATCATCCTGTTTTGCTAATTTATTATTTCATCAAATATGGCCATAACATAAATGTAAAGCCTTCCGCTGTTTCTTCGTTAGACCGTGCCGTCTTAAGCATCAGTTACTGACCGTGGCGTTATATCAATAAAGTCAAAATGATATAACGCTGAAGGCTTAGCTGCATAAGCTTGCGATGAACTCACGATCAAGTGTTTCTTAAACAAGAACGAAGACATCAACGGCATAATTTAGCCACTCTGCCAAAAAACAATTATTCCCTCTAGAGCAACTTGAATTTGAATACGTCACACCCTCCTAACGCAAATCCTTATTTACCCAAGTTGACACAGTACTTGGTTGAATTTAGGGAAAGAGCACATTGACATTAAGTTAAGATAATCGTCACCATAGTTCGTAGAGGGGACTAACTATGTCGGCACGGAGGCATGCGGGCATTTCCCCTGGTTTACTAGTTAG